CATAGAGTGTATTTGGGATAGTTTCTACAGCAATATGTGATTGAGCCAACCAGGGAGGAGGCTATCTTGGATCTGGTAATGTGGACATAGATTGACTTCTTTGGCGCACAGTCCTCCATGCACTTACTAATGAAATCCATGACTGTGGTGGCATATTCATCCACGTTTCGGCTGGCTCCTTGAATCTGGTCCAATCCACCCATTCCCATAGAAGCTCTTCCACTGCCTCAGGCCAGCATTGTACTACTTTCTGTGAAGGATCCTCCTGTTGCAACTGCTGCTTGCAAGGTGGGAGGAGGAACACAGCGTTGTGATCTGATTTTACAAAGTGTGGGCAGGGTATGGAGTAGTAAGTGTCTTTGATGATTGTGAAGCAGTGGTCAAGGATGTTCGGTCCTCTGGTGGGGCAGGAGACGTGTTGGTGGTATTTTGGTAGCACCCTCTTGAAATTGGCCTGATTGAAGTCTCCAGCCACAGGGAAGTTCATCTCCAGAACATCTGTAACAGTGTAAATTTCATCCAGAGCCTTCTTCACTGCTGCCTGGGGTGGCATGTAGACTGCTGCCAGGATGGCAGAGGTGAACTTGCGCAATTTTCAATTTGCCGGTTGAGACTTCCTTCAAAAGTTCTGATAAATTAGATACAACTTCCTCTTAATGAAGACATGCCAACTCTGCTTGATTAGATTATGATTTTCCAAATGTTCTGCTATTAATTGCTTAATAACTGATTCCAGTACTTTTCCAACATGTTAGACTAAGTGGCCCCTTTTAGAAAATCACAACCAATGCATCCACTATCTCTGCAGCAAGCTTTGTTAGGATCCTAGGATGCAAACCATCAGGGCCACGCCACTTATAGTCATAGAATAGAATCCCCACAGTGTGGAAACAGGCCTTTCGGCCCAACAAGTCCACACTGACCCTTGCAGCATCCCACTCAGACCCATGCCCCTACAACCAACCTACGCTATACATCCCTGAACACTACAGGAAATTTAGATGGCCAATCCACCTAAGCTGCACATCTTTGGACTGTGGGAGGAAACCCACGCAGACACAGGGAGAATGTGCAAACTCCACACAGACAATCGCCCCAGGGTGGAATTGAACCCAGGTCCCTCGTGCTATGAGGCGGCAGTACTAACCACTGAGCCACTGTGCCGTGGGAACTTGTGAAGTTGTTCGTGTTTGGATGGGAGAACAAAAGAACTGAATGTTATTTAAATGGAGAGAGACTGCAGAAAGCTGAAACACAAAGGAACTTGGGGGTACTTGTGCACAAAGCACAGAAAGCTAGCACAAAGATGGAGCAGGTAATCAGGAAGGCTAATGGAATGTTGCCCTTATTTCAAGGGATTGAAGTATAAGAGTAGGAAAGTATTACTGCAACTGTGCAAGGTACTGGTGAGACCACGTCTAGAGTACTATCAGCAGTTTTGATCCCCTTAGGGAAAGATATCATTTCACTGGAGGCAGTTCAGAGAAGGTTCATTAGGATGATCCCCTATATGGAGGGATTGTCTTATGAACAAAAGCTAAACAGGTTGGGACTCAATTCAATAGAATTTAGAAGAACGAGAGGTGATCTCATTGAAACATATAGGATTCTTAAGGGGCTTAACGGGATCAATGCTGAAAGAATATCTCCCCACATGGAAGAGTCTATGACCAGAGTGCATAATCTCAGAATAAAGGAGTGCACTTTTAAGACTGACTTGAGAAATTTCTTCTCTGAGGGTTGAGAGTCTTTGGAACTCCTTGCCACAGGGAGCCGTAGGGGCAAAGCCATTGTGTACATTTAAGGCTGAATAGATAGATACTTGATCAGAAGGGGATTCAAGGATTATGGAGAAAATGCCAGAAAGTGGACTTGATGAATATTGGATTAGCCATAATCCTATTGAATGGCAGAACAGGCTTGAGGGGCTGAACGGCCTACTCTTGCTCCAATTTCTTATGATCTTATTACGGTCTTAAGGTCAAATGTTGGTGTTACTGCCTTGTACCCTTATTTTGACCTGGGTGAAACCAATGTGACTTACTGCATGCTTTTCAATCATGTTCCAGTACCATTCTCTTTCCTATTTACAACAAGGAATCGTGGGCATCCAGTTGGGTAGGAAGTATATGAGTTGAAAGTACAGCACAGACTTGCTTTCTAAACATATGAGTTGCAGGTGAAAGTAGGTCTTGAGGTGTCACTCCAAGTTTAACATAGCAATCCTGAAGTCTTGTCATGTTGCCTTACACTTTGTGATCATTGTTTTAACTGTGATAAGGTATGCTCTGCTGAACCATTAGATTGTGGATATTGCACAGAAGATGTGATACACTGGACTTCCCATTTCCTGCACCTTTCTCAAATTTTACACTTAATGTTGATCTCGCTCTCTGTGCACCTTCTCTGTAGCTATACATATGATCTGCCTCTACTGCACACAAAATGAAACTTTTCACTGTACCTAGATACATGTGACAACAATAAATCAAATCAAATCATTACTTGGATTATTGCCTGACACAATCTGTTGCAGGCCATCTAGCATACTGAAGATCACTATTAATGTTTAAAAGATTGTGGTATCAGTACTGTGATATCCTTTACTTATCTGATGTAAAACAAGTAGTGATCAGTGTTCAATACGTAGTTTGACCATGGATTTTAAATAGATCTGTAGAAATCTCAAATCATGGTTCAGAGGGAATGATAATGTGGCATAAATGGTTCTGCTGGGATCGATTACATTTGAAATGCCTCACAGAATCGTATCAGTTGCCATGTCTCACTTGGAAGCAGACTGAACATCAAGCCCTGTTACTCCTGGAGTCATAACAAAAGTTACCAGTTGAATATTTTGCATGTAACCTGGTCCCTACCTGAGTACAAATAGCCTCCCCACTGCTTGAACAAAGTAGCAGTGTAAACATGATATCATGAGTTTTAATAAGTTGCTTTTTAAATGTGCAAGCAATTCGTTCCACATATTTGTTTTCAAAACACTTTTTCCAATATGAGTCCATAGTCACAAATGCAGAAAAATTTAAAAGATCTTTATACAATTTATCTGTGTCTTTGTTGATCCCAGCGCAATAGACAGGTTTTCATGCCAGGCTTATGGTTCTTTCTGTACCCATGTGCCTAATGTGGAGATAGTTCAAAATGTCTTGATGTAAAATTGGGGAACAAACACATGCTTACCTTGGAAAATAACATTTCTTGATAGGCTCAACTCATATCTATATGACCAAAAGGAATGCTCATGTTCTGGAACCTACCTAATGTGTTTAGGTCACCTGCTAATGATAACATTTTAGTTCTTCGAGCTGGTTGTCAACAGCTATAGCATATTGAATTTGTTCTGCTTGGCTATGACCAAAGTGCATTAGGTGAATCATTTTGTCTGAAATCCTTGGTGTCACAGCAGATATTATGCTATCTCATGGATCATCAAGATATAATCAGTGCCAGTGCCACTCAGCTCCTGACCTCTTTACAGCCTTGGTCCAAGCTTGGAAAAAAAGAACTGGAGTCCTAGGAAAACAAGAGTCAATGGGAATTAGTGGGAAAACTTCTCACTGGTTGGAATCATATCTAGCAAAAATGAAACTGTTTATGGTTGACTTTCACCGATTATCTCAGCTCCAGAACATTACTGCAGCTATTTCTCAGTGTCATGTCTTAGGCTAAACCATCTTCAGCTGTTTCAATAATGACAGTCATAAGGGCAGCAGTGAGGATAGTTCCTGATGATTGCACAATATCAGCATCATTTCAGATCTTCATAGTGTGTCTACATGCAGGCTAACATCTAGACTTGCTCTGATAACTGATAAGTAACACTTGTGCCATAATAGAGCCAGGCAATGGCTATCTCCAACAAGACATAATTTAACTATTGCCCCTTGACATTCAACTGCATTGCCATTACAGTACTACCACTCCCGCTACAAACATCTTAGGATTTACTATTGACCAGAAACTAAATTGGACCTGATAACCAGGCAACAACAGCAACTCAGATGTTAGGGATTCTCCAGACAGTAACTCAGCTTTCAAACACTGCATCACTTACCAGGCCTCCTTGCCATTTTTTCACATTGGCACTATACCCACATTGCATTTCATGCCCTTCTAACTTGGTACTTTAAATGGCAGAATATGGCGTCTGACTGCTATGAAATGGTGGAGTGACTTTATCTTCCTCTGACAGCTCTGCACTCTAAAGGAATTGTCAGAATGGAAGTACAATCTGCATTTTTGCATTTCAGAAATGCAGAGTTCCCTCTTCTTGTGCAAAAAAGAGGTGACATGAGATTGCCACTCCTCAGAAAATCTGGCCCATTGTGGTAACTCTTGTGTAATGAACACTGAGACTGGGAATAACTGTCTGAAGACTTGTTTACAGGCCTACGAAATACATGACAAAGCTAGCAAATCGCTATAATGTGCACTCAAGCTGGCTGACTAACACACTTTGCTGGTGGATTACAAAGTAGAGAAGTAAATATTCAAGATGGTGCTGATACAGGAATGTCACTTGGCATGATGTAACAGTGACACAATCACCTAATTCTGTTAAAGCTACCTACTTGCCTGATCTAAGATGCATCCAATACCATAACCTGCCTCCCCTGTTTTACCCTGTTACCCTATGCCTTTATTACTAAAGTGCCCCTCGTTGTGATGATGCTCACTTCCTTGGACACTTCATTTGTTTCTAAATCCCTTATGGATTGTTTCATTCATATGAGAAGCAAAAGACTCTGGAAAAGTAGTGCTAACCCCGAACAGCCAGTGCTCAGTGACTTCCTCATGTACTGTATTATTCTACAGTTCTGTGTATCTGGTCTTATCTAACATCTCAGTTTTGTCAGAATGCGATAAAACTTCAGGGCGAACCGAAATTCCGAGAGCGGAGGGGAGGCGCGACCAGTTTTCTGGGCGGAGATACATACCTGACTGGTCTCAGAAGAACGAGGAAACTCGAATGCATTGTACCTACACGGTCACTTACAGACAAAATTCCGCCAACATTTTAAGGTTGCACAACTGAATTACGCGGTGGTGGGTGTAAATGGGGAGCAAATTTTAAAATATTTCAACAAGAGTTCATTTACGGTTGTTTCTATGCACCAACGATGCTGACTGCCAAAGTCTGCACAGTGCTAACCCTCCCCTCATGTGGGACAATTGCATGAAGAGCTTTTCACTGTGTCCCGAAGGTGAGAGAAGGACATCGGGCCAGAGAATGAGAGCTGAGACATGTTCTCTCTGATTTCGCGTGCCAATGAGGAGGATCAAGTGTCTTTGCGTCATTTTATTTTAAATTATGAAATCTCGTAAAACACAGAAAAAAGTGTCAATACGTGCATTTGGTTTCCGGTTTGTGTGAAGCTTTTTGGAGTGTCTTTTCCCATCTGGAAGCGTTGTCGTTCCGGGCAGAGGAGATTCAGTGACAACTCTGCGGTTTATTAAACCCCATTGTTCTACAGCTGATAAACAGGAAGTTGTTTCTGTCAGAGAACGAAAGGATTATTCATTTACCTGTCACCTGGAACATCACCAGTACAATTCTTCACCTTGAAACGATTTAAATCAGTGTGACTCGTGTTGCCTTTGAAAAAGCCCAGCGAGCGCCTGAGAGAGTACATTGCTCAGCACCTCCCACATAGCTTTCTGTGACAGCCTAGAAATGCACCATTGTCGCAGTTTTCACAACGATCCGATTGAAGTCATTTGACAATTAACCTCATTCACGGCGGCTGCGATGTAAAGAGAAACACAAATTATAGATCGTTCAACAGGCTTCTCTTTGGACCAGCTGAACTAGCTTCACTGAAGATGAGACGGAACTTGAAAGTCAAGGTCAGTACTGATTTATTTAGAAAATAATAACTTGCTCAAAACTTATACTTTAAACGAAAAATGTGTTGTTTAACTGTACACTTTTGATCATTTATCTTTGGCCTATCCCTCTAATGGCTCCTGATGTGATCACTTCTCATATGCGTTAGACACTGTTTACGCATAAAACATTCAAGAGAAACATTATCGTTGTCCAGCCTGATCCTGCTTCACCTGGCTGAAGATCCAGCTAGCACTGATTTGTAATTTGCTATCTCCAGTCTACTCCACATCATTAGTAATTAAGGCAAATTAATGAAAATAAGCATTTTTTAACTCGGATTTTATTTTGCATTTCTTTTCTCTAAGTATCTCTCTGAAATCATTGTTTAGTGACTTTGTAAGGCTATGGGGAAATTGCAAGCTTGGATAGGGGCTGAATGACCTCTTTCTGTGCTGTGGGTTGTTAAGATGATAAATGTTCAGCGAGAAGCTGTGAAGTTCACTTGTTCTGTTTAAATGTTGGCTTTGCTCAAGATAGCATCCTTGATTCTGAGTCAGAAAGTCCTGGGTTCAAGTCCCAGGCTAGAACTTGTACAGATTGGCTAGGCTGACATTCCCAATTTATTACTGAGAGAAGTGTTTGGAGGTGTTGCTAAAATGAGAATTTGTGATGCATTGAGAAAGTGGAATGATTTCAGTGAACTATTTCTGTTGTATATGATAATGGTTCTGAAACAGTTAATGTTCATGGGCTGCACCCATTCTACTGATATCACATGCAATTTTCTGGGTGGAAACAAGAAGCTCTATTCTAGTTGCAGAGGGAACAGACATGACTGTATCAGATCCCTAAGGTCGTAGTAGTTATGCCAAATGAAGTTATATTTATTATCAATACTTACTATGCAAGAAACTTTGTTATCTAAGAACAGTGCCTCTTCTGTAGATACTTAATTGTGGTGTATTCCCTACAGCTAATCGCTAGATAGGCCCAAGACATAGAAAAGACAAAGGAAGTTTGGTGCCAAGGCATTAGCTCAAACAGTCCTTGCCCAGCACCACATCCTGGGTGAGGTGACAAATACAACAAGGCAGTAAGAGTGTCATCTGGGAAAATTACAAGTTTCAGGAAACAGGAGAGTTCACCTACTCTCCTTGCTAACCTTCATTACCAGTACTGGAAAAATTCACTTACATCTTTACTGTTTGTATGTGCGCAATCTACTGTTATATTTGCCTATATGATTCCAATTATTCCACCTCCAAAGTAATTAATTGGTTATAAGGTGCTTTGGAACACCTTGAGGATCTGAAAGTCACTTTTTGAATGCAAGTGCTTTATTTGCCAGAGCTAAGTACTAAATAATGATGTTATACATGTCTTTGAATGCAAATCTCAACTACTTTGGGTAATATGCTTTCCATGTGGTGGAGCCAACTTGTGCTTTTATTCATCTTTGGACTCTCAGCACATGTTCAGCACTGGTGTTAAGCATACACTCAGTGGGTGCACAAAATGTAGTATTTCACTGGTGCTTTGGCTAATATGTTCTTTGAGGGCTTGGTGGAATAGTAGGTAAAAATGTCCCCACTCATGAAAGGATAAGAACAAAAAGAAATCAGTGAAACAAAACTGGAAGAATTATGAGGAAGGCTTGTTTTACGCAATGAGTGGTTCAGATCTGGAACACACAGTCTGAGATTATGGTGAAAGCAGGTTCAATTAAGGCATTCAACAGAGAATTCAAGGGTTAAGAATGATGTGGCGGGTTATGAGAAGTGAGATGCCTATTTGGAGAACTGGTGTAGAATAGTGGGTCAAATACATTAGTACAATTCTGTGACTGTCTTCTAGATATTGAGTTACTGCCTTTTGTAACAAATAACACTTTGTTTGGGTGGCAGAATTCATGTAGTTCCAAGCGGGAATGTGTTGATTTAGGGGGTGGAGGACAGTAGTGGGAAGATAGATTGTAGACCAAACAGGGGGCGTCTTTGACTAATAATAAATGTCTTTACCACCCTACCCCTTCCCTCCCCCACCTCCAACCACAAACACCTGCCCCACTTCCCCTGTGTTTTGATTTTTAGACTTCAGTTCAGAATGTTGAGGAAAGGCTGACTTCTGGATGGAGGACTACAGATATTCTGCGCTGAAGGAGATTGTGATGAAATCTTTGTAGCCATCACTGTAATTTTGCTGACCAAAAGCAACTTATAATCTCAAAAGCTCTTCAATGTCATGACATTTAACATAAGTCGATAAATTTGCCAGTAAAAAATAGCATAAAAGGAGCTGTCATGCAAAATAAGTCTTCATCTGAGCGGAAGATTTCTGTCCCTTTTTCCGCTTTCTCCTTTGATAGACTTGGAAAAGAAAAGAATCCATATTGGCGTGCATGGAATTTTTACTTGTGCTTTTTTGTTGGGAGGTACCTTTTTGGTGGTGATGGGAAAGGAGCAAAAATAGCATCTTGAACAAAAATGCCATGTTAGTCTTGTTCCATCTGCGACTGTTATTTGCTGATATATAATCACCAGCTATGTGCAAGGGGTGGAAAGGAAATTTTTACCCATTTTGAATAAACATATGAACACAGGTTCCTTGTAGGTACTCCAGTGTTTCTCTGCCAACATACACCCAGAAGAATTTGAGGAAAAATAAACCCGAGTTTGCTCGTGGTTTCGTTTAACTAACAGTTTTTTTTTGGAAGAATGCTAAATCTTAAATAAGTTGTAAAAACAGCTCATACTTTGCAGCAAGGTAGAATTGCAGAGGTTTCCTCATGATGTTCCATCAGTGATCTATTTTAATGCATAAAGAAGCTGTCCCCGAATATGCCTTCAGGGAAATATTCAAGAGAGTTGAGCTTTTGACCAAGAATGAGAATCTGGGTTTGAGTAGAAATTAGATATAACAAAGTGTGGAGCTGGAAGAGCATAGCAGGCCAAGCAGCATCAGAGGAACGGGAAAGCTCATGTTTCGGATCAGGACCCTTCTTCAGAAGATTTCAGAAGGGTCCCGACCCAAAATGTCAGCTTTCCTGTTCCTCTGATGCTGCCTGGCCTGCTGTGTTTCTCCACCTCTGCACTTGGTTATTTCTTTTTCCAGCATCTGCAGTTCTTGCTTCTCTTGTAGAAATTATTCCAGTTTCTTCACTGGTTTATGTTTCCACACCCTTTTAATAAGAATTTTAGAAGGTGGGACACTAGTTAATTTCTTCATAATTACTATCACTGCAGCTCTGTGGTAGGGTGGCTAGTAATACTGTTGCAGTGTAGCAGGTCCATTTGTTTATTTCTTACCTCCTTCAAGACAGAGATTATGGAATCTGGCTAATTAAACTTTCAAACATGGACCCAAGACTTTCTAACTGGGCGTTGAGGATTTTTAACCATTTGAATTCCAGAACTGAGACACTACAATATATTATCTAAGTCATGCAATCATATATTAAATAATTTACTAATTAGTCATTTTTCTTGCAGGTATACATTCCACACTGCAGTGCTGCAAATTAAAGGATAAGAACAATTTAGGCTTAAAGACTGAAGAAGAAAACATTTGAACATACCAGATGAATGATAAAGGAAGACTTCAAGAATATTGTGACAGGTTCATTATGAAAATATTGGAGAATAAGACCGTTGCCTGTGCATCTTTTAAATATATCAGAAATTCATGACCTAAAGACACAAGTTAGAATCCTCTGAGTTTTGCTCAATGAGGAGGTGACTTGTAAATCAAATTCTGGTAGTCATTTATGCAAACAGCCACTTAAGTCCTATCAAGGGAGCAAGCATCATCAATATCAGTATGTTTTCTAATGTTAATAGCTAATTATAAATACCACTAATGCAGAAAATAAAAAGCCAACAATCTCATGGGCCCAAAACTGTTTGTATTGCAAATAAAAAACAGCATAAGACAGTTGTTGTGGAATCAGCTAAAGAGGAAAACAGAACAAAGGGCCAGAACAATAGCTTGGAACTGTTACCAGGAACTGCAACGTACACAGATCCGCTCAGTGACAGGGTGCTGAACTGTAACATGCATCTAAACAGCACTAATTCAGAGGAGACAATTGAGTGTGAAACTGACATAAAGCAAATTGGTGGGATTGAGGAATGTTATGCAAGTACAGCCACTGCAGTAGCTCCAGGTAATGTAACCAAGCTAAATTTTGCAAAATCCTATAAACTAACCTGTGGCAGCTTTCTATTTCATAAGATAATGAATTGCTCTTGCTGGCCAACTCTGTGTTAAGCATCTCCTCAAGGGGCTGAAAAACCTCACTTTGGTATGGTGGTCTTTGCTACATTTGCTACAGAGGAAGACGGTGGACTGGATGACAAGGGACATAATTCGCTGGCCTCTGCTTTCTCTGTCCCTCTCTCAACCAGCTGACCTTTAGTTCTACTCGCCTTTTGTATTCAGTCACATACAAAGTAATAAGGGAGAAAATAATTATGTTGCTTTGAAAGAGAAAGCCTAAGTTGAAAATAGAAAAATGTATTTTCATAATGTAAATGAACCTCCATTTTTGATTTCAGAGTGGTAGCACCAGTGTGATGATGTGCTTTAGTTTCAGAAAGTATGCAACTTGGATAAACATTATATGTACAGAGTTGAGCACTCAACATAAACCAACTGTAAATTTCTTAGATATGATTTTTGATCCATGAAAGTGACCCAAGTTGAGTGGTTATTTGTTTCTGACCTCATATTTAATAATCTTGCAGTATTATGTGCTTATGACTAGTTGCAATTTCTTTCCAATATTTTCCAATAGAGAAGTACAATAAGTAACCAAATCTTAGATCTTATTTTGAAAAATAAATGCCTTTCTTTTTCATGTACAGTGTTGAGTACGAAAGTAAATCAACTGAAATTTAGAAATGAGCTTCTGCTGTGTCAAACAAAACAGTTAATTTATATAAACGTTCTCTACTCAAAGTAACAGTGATATTCTGAAGTAGTAGTTTTACCTTTGTCTATAAGTAAAGTTCATAATAGGGAAAAGTAATGCTGTCAATTTATTGGAGAGACTCACTCAGAGAATGAAACCAGAGATTATTGCTGAAATTGTGATCAAAATTGACAGAGTTAATCTTTCTCATAATTGGCAGCCCTATGTTTGACTATGCTATTCAGTTAAAAATAAAATTAGAAATAAGACATTCTCCAATGCCCAATTGTTTTCAGTGTTAATTTTCAATTTCATTCAAATTATTTGCATTCATAATTAGAGATAAGCAATGGTACACCACCAGTTCTCTGAATGTGTTTTGTTTCAATTTGTTGACTTCACTTGTCTTCTTGAGAACTAATCTCAGTGATTAGAAGATAGGAAGTAACAAAGTTTGTGTTTAATTGTTGATAAGTAAAGGTAGAGAAAATTTTTCTTTAATTGAAAACTACCTGTTATCGCATCTGTTATCCCTTTGCCTGCTTCAATTGGCTGTTAGTGTTGATGCTGTTTCTAAACTGGCAAGACATTCAAATCAAGGCTGGTGCATGTAACGCCGTAATAGGGTGGAGCAAATTACTGCAGGTGCTGGAATCTGTATTGAGAGCAAAAAATGTTGGAGATCACGATGGGTCAGGCAGCATCCGTGGAGAGAAAGCAAGCTAACGTTTCAAGTCTAGATGGCTGTTCATGATGACTCTTCAGCATTTTTTTTGTTTTCACCATAATAGGGAGGCTTGTCAACACTGCTGGATTGTACAGGACTCTCTTAGTGTTGAGAAAATGCTGTGAACAGCCAGGGGAAAAAATAGATTGTAATGCTTGCCTGGAGATGGCTGTTTTTGGAATGGTGCCCCTTGTTCTTTATTGGCATTTTTTTATTCACTTATGTGACATGGGCATCGCTGGATGCCAGCATCTATTGCCTATCCCTAACTGCCTTGAGAAGGTGGCGGTGACCTGCCTGCTTGAACCACTGCAGTCCACATGCTATAGATTGACCCACAATGCCTTTAGGGAGGGAATTCCAGGATTTTGACCCCATGACATTGAAGGAGTAGTGATATATTTCCAAGTCAGGATGGTATGTGACTTGGAGGGGAACTTGCAACTGGTGGTGTTTCCAGGTATCTGCTGACCTTGTACTTCAAGATTGAAGTGGTCATGTGTTTGGAAGGTGTGTCTAAAGATCTTTGGTGAATCTCTTGTGCATACTATAGATAGCACATACTGCTACTACTAAGTGCCTGTGGTGGAGGGAGAGGATGGTTGTGTATGTGGTGTCAGTCAGCAGGCTGCTGTGTCCTGATAGTGTCAAGTTCTTGAGTGTTGTTGGAGCTGCACCAATCTAGGCAAGTGAGAATTATTCCATCACATTCCTGATTTGTGCATTATAGATGGTGGACAGGCTTTAGGGATTCAGGAGGTGAGTTACTTGTTGTAGTATTCCTAGCCTCTGACTGTTCTTGTAGCCACTGTGTTTATATGATGAGTCCAGTTGAGTTTCTGATCAATGATAACCTCCAGAATGTTAATAGTGAGGGATTCAGTGATGGTTACACCATTGAATGTCAAGGGGCTGATATGTTTATCACTTCTATCATTGTGGAGTCTCCTCCTCAAATGAGTTGTTTAATTATCCACCACCATTCATGGCTGGATATTCATAGATTCATAGAATACCCACAATGTGGAAACAGGCCCTTTGGCCCAACAAGTCCATGCCGACCCTCGGAGCATCCCACCTAGACCCATCCCCCTATAAACCACCTATTTAACATAGCCAATCTACCTAGCCTGCACATCTTTGGACTGTGGGAGGAAACCGGAGCACCCAGAGGAAACCCACGCAGAAACGGAGAGAATGTGCAAACTCCACACAGACAGTTGCCTCAGAGTGGAATTGAACCCGGGTCCCTGGCACTGAGAGGATGAGGCACCGTGCCGTCCCCATGACAAGACTACAGAGTTTAGATCTGTTCATTGATTTGGGATTGATTAGCTGTGTCTATCACTTGCTGCTTCTGTTGTTTGGCATGCAAGTATTCCTTTTTTTTTGTAGCTTCACCAGATTGATGCCTCATTTTTAGGTGTGCCTGGTGCTATGCCTGGCATGCCCTCTTGCACTCTCCATTGAACCAGAAAGCCCACTGAAAGCCCTGGATTGATGGCAATGGTTGAGTAGGGGATATGCCGAGCCATGAGGTTACACATTTTATTGGAGTACAATTTTGCTGCTGTTGATGCCCCACAGCACCACATGGATGCCCAATCTTGCTGGATCTGTTCAAAATCTGTCTCATTTTAATATGGTGACAGTGCCACACAATGTGTCAGAGGATATTCTCAGCATGAAAGTGGGACTTTGTCTCCACAAGGATTGTGAGGTGATCACTCTTACCTATACTATCGTTGATAGATACATCTGCAGTTGGCACATTGGTAAGGATGAGGTCAAGTGTAATTTTCCCTCTTATTGATTCCCACACCACCTCCTTCAGACCCAGCCTAGCACCTGCATCCTTTTGGACCCGACCAGCTCGGTCCGTGGTGCTGTTGCTGAGCCACTCTTGGTGGTGGGCATTGAAATTCCCCCATCCAGAGCACATTTTGTGCCCTTGCCACCTTCAGTGCTTCTTCCAAGTATTGTTCAACATGGAGAAGTACCATTTCATTAGCCAAGGGAGGATGGTACGTAGTAATCAGCAGGAGGTTTCCTTACCCATGTTTAATCTGAAGCCAAGAGACTTCATGGGATTTGGAGTCAATGCTGAGGACTCCTAGGGCAACTCCCTCCCAAATGTATGTGACTGTGCTACCCCTTCTGCTGGGTCTGTCCTACTGGTGGGACAGGACATATCCAAAGATAGTTGAGATAAATCCCTCTAGTTTCAAGTCAGACAGAAATTTATTCTCACATCCCTTTTAAATAGCCTTTTTGTCATTGAAGCACTTCCCAAAATCAATACTGCAATGGTGATACTGAGTACAATAATACATATACTGATGGCATCTGTCTATTACATGTTGTCAAGATTGCATAGATGCCCTCTCAATAAGTGATGGTGGTGTCTGGGACATTGTCTGCAAGGTAAGATTCTGTTTAGTATGGTTATGTTATCTTGTTGCTCAACTAGTTTGTGAGACAGCTCTCCCAATTTTGGTTCAAGCCCCCAGAAGATAGTAAGGAGGACTTTGCAGGGTTGACAGGGCTGATTTTGCCATTGTCTTTTCTGGTGCTTAGGTCAATGCCAGGTAGTCTGTCCCGTTTCATCTCTTTGTTAAGACTTAGTAGTAATTGATACAAGTGAGTGGATTGCTAGGCCATTTCAAAGGGCAGTTGAGAGTCAACCACATTGCTGTGGATCTGGAGTCGCGTGTAGGTTAGACCAGGTGAGGTTGGCAGATTTCCTTCTCTGATTTCCTTTTCCTTTCCTATTTAATTCAAATTCCACCATCTGCTGTCATGGATTTGAACCTGGTTTCCCAGAATATTAGCTGATTTTCTGGTTTAATAGTCTAGCAATAATATCATTAAGCCATCTGATCTTCCCCCTAAGTTTTAAAGAGCAAATTTTCCACATTGTTAATGAGCAGTGATTGCCTTCTTTCCACGTATTTGCATCTCATTAATAGCCTCATTTCAATGCAGCTTCCAATTCTCTTCACTATGAAAGTTAGAAGACTTACCTGGTGCCTAATTACCTAACTCTGTCTTCATCACAACATCCCCATATGCTCCATCGACACCGTTCTCTTCCACCCTCCATCCACACTGGTTGGTACTGGCAAACAACATCGTCCCAGTCTTGGGCTCACTCACACATCTCTTCAAGACTTCATTTTGGAGCTCAGGAACACCTATGACTAACTAGAATGCTTCTGCCAGGTCACTTTGCATGCGGGGGCATGTAAACTAATTTTTAGCTATGCACAATGCAACTTACAGCTTTTGGCTTCACTTTCTGGCACTCACTCATGTTGTGTTTGCTTGGAGGCTGCCAACCTCTATGACTTGCATTGGTTTTTTTGGCATAGAGGGAGAGGCAGGCAGCTTTACATGGTTCAGAGTACTAAACATCCAAGGAACCCAAGAAATGTCACTCAACAGCACAGTGTCACACCTATAGCATGTGCCAGCAGGTTATGCTTCAACCATATGGGCATGTCTGTAAGTTAAAGAGGATTAGTAT